ACCTTAAATTTTGAGTTTGAGTAAATTTTACATTTCTAACCCAAATTATCTCCCATGTGTCCAATAAAATTGGTTCTTGTATATTTTGCGCCCATTTTATCATACAATCCTTAACCAATTCTGTTTCTGAATCCAACTCAATCAATACATTATAAATTCTTTTAATATGAGCTTGAGATTGATCTTTAATCCGTTTCATCAAATTTGCATCCTGTAAGGTAATGCCAGCTCTTTGACTTTTGCTACTATTAAGGGGGAAAAAACATTTGAAGCCCCGAATGTAGGCAATTCATTTACTCATGAGGTTTTTCTTGCTTAAAAGAGCAAATAATCCACAGGGAGGGTATATACACCTCTTGGATAGACTTTGGGCACAATTGGATTACAGAAGGAGCGACAGGTGTTTACTTTCCTAAGCCAAAGCAAACGCAAGTGAGGCATGTATTTCTGGCTCAGAAAATGGAACCACCTGGGAGGAGTATAAGGCCTTTTCCTTGGGGGTGAGAGTGGGGGGGGGGAAATCCTCAAATGCCCAGGCAGGTGACAGGTGAAGGCCAGGAGCTTCACTTTACCCTAACTAGATAAAAGAGGAGGAAAGGAAAAGAGAGGGGAGGGAAAGGGGCAGGCAAAAAGGGAACGGAAACAGGGCTTTGGGGGAAAAGAGAAGAGGGTTACTTTCCTAGAATCCTGCACACTATTCAGTCTTTTCCTTGTGTCCCAGTGTTTTACTTTTTATCCCAGGTCCTCAATCATTTTGGTTGCCCGCATCTGCCCTTTTCCAGGTGAAATTATCTCCCACACGAAGACTCTCTCCCAAATGACAGAAGGGCTTTGCAATAGGGTAGTTTTAGTATGTTTGGATTCATTTCCAAATGTTTCTGACAAGGAATTTGCTAGTGTTTCTGTGGACTGTTCTGCTTGGTCAGTCTCCTCCATGTTGAGGGGAAATTAAAGGGTCCTCGGTTTCTGAACTGAGCAGGTGTGAGAAGACCCATCTGATCCTTCCCTTGATGCCCTGACCCCGATCTCCATCTTCCCCTTCCCAGGTGGGCCTGGGCTGCTCTTTGGTAGGGATCACCGGTCTCCTCCCTCTGATGCAGGTGTTGATCCCACTCTTCACGGGCCAGCCGCTCCCGCCAGAGAAACTGCAGGAGGTGATGGACGGGCTGACCGCAGCCTTGGATCAGTTTGAGGGATTGTTTCTCCAGGACAAGCCCTTCCTGGTGGGCAGCGAAGTCTCTCTTGCGGACCTGGTGGCTATCGTGGATCTCATGCAGGTGACCCTGAGAGCGCTGGGCCCTCGTTCCCCCCCCCGCATCTGATTCCTCCCTATCAAAGATGCAGTGGGGCTTCCCCAGGTGCACATCACCTGCCCTTCCAGGTAGACCAGACTAGGAAATCAAAGCCCTGCATGTTGAGACCACTTTTATTGCAAGGCCAGAGGATCAGAACTTGGCGAGTCTGAATGAGCTTCCCACTCCCTCCCTTTATCTTCATAACACCCCAGAAGGGTCTTGTCTGAGCGGGTTATAATCCTAGTCTGGACTAGCCAGGTTTCTTCTGGCCATTTTCTTGCTAGGGGCTCTTTCTCCTCTTCCTCTGCCCGTTGCCCTCCTTGACTTGTGAAGGGGCATCACCAGCTGCCCTCAGAGGGTGTCCCCTCCCTTCCCGACAGCAGGAGCAGCCTCCAGGCAGAGAGGTCCACATCAGAGCCACCCCAGAGGCGCTTCTGTCCCAGAATCAGCTCCACTGGGACAAGAAGCGGGGGCAGGCACCCTGGGGGAGCCAGAGGCAGGGCCGCAGCCTGTGGAGCCTGAGCAGACTCGGTGGCCTAGGCTAGGCAGCTGGGACATCTGTGTGGAGGGCCCTGATCTTCTGCCAGCTGATCTGATGCCGCCATTTGCCAACCTCTGCATTTCCTTCTCTGTTTCTGCAGCCTGTGGGCGTCGGATGCGACATTTTCAAGGATAGGCCCAGACTGGCCGAATGGCGTAAAAGGACGGAAGATGTGATTGGGAAGGAGCTCTTCCTGCAAGCACATGAATTGATCCTGAACATTAGTAAACTTAGCGCCATCCAGATCAGTCCACAGCTGAAGGAGCAACTGGCCCCCGTTTTGTTAAAGATGCTGAGATGAGTAAAAGAATTTCAAAAGAGAGGCTAGCATGGCTGGTCACCTCTCCATCTCTGGACTTGTTAACTTTTCATTTAGAATTGTGCCCACCAGAGGCTCTCCTGGCGAAAGCCCTGTCAGGCTTCCAGAAGGCGCCCCACAGCCTTTGCAAGAGCTCCACTGTTATGCTGGAGTTCTCCTGACCCCTGGAGACTCTGCCTGCCAGGATGAGCCACAAAGACTCCAGACTCCTCGCCACGAGCCCCTTTAGCCACCCCCAGGAAAACGCATGGCTAAACAATGGGCAGAAGGGCAGCAAGTCCGCTCCTCTGCCCAGACGAAGGAAGCTGGTAGAGCTGAGAGGCTCCTGGGGTAGTGAGGTTTGTGCCCCACCCAAGTCAGAAAGGGGCAGGGGCCACCGGGTCTCCTTCCCGGGAGCCTCCTGTGATCACCTGCTCCAAAGCCGCCTCCCTCTTTTCTCTACTCCTGCCCTGAGATGCTCAATGCCGAAGACGATGGGTCCTGGAAAGATGGTTGTCCCTGGAGCCCTCCTACCCCCCATGCCTTCTCCCTAGGCCCGGGCCTGTCTAGGCTCTGCTCAGCTAGGTCATCTTCCTTGCCAATTCCAGCTTGGTAGCAGCTTTGCAGTCCCGAAGTAAACAATTCCTATTTCTACTTGGAGAAGCAGCGTGGTATAGTGGTTAAGGCACTGGACTGGGTGCAGGGAAACCCAGGTTCTGCTCCTGCTTAGGCAGGAAAGCCAGCTGGGTGACCTTGAGCCAGTCTCTCTCCGCCCCCAGTTCTGTTTAGCCTGGCTGATGAGAAATGTCCTCTTCAGATGCACCTGGATAGCTTTGTGGTAAGAGCCATGGCAAGTCAGTGCAAAGGCAAGCAGACCTGCAACCATACGACAAACACTCAGACGTAACAACCACGTAACATTTTTTCCACTTGACCTGAAGTTACGTGCAGTGTTGGATGTTACAAGGCATTTGGAGGCAAAAGGGGGTTGATGCCAACAGGGACAGGGTATTCCTCAATTTACAACAATTCATTTAGTGGCCGTTCAGTTACAACATCACTGAAAAAACTGACCTATGGCCATTTTTCACACAACCGCTGCAGCGTCCCCAGAGCCACGTGATCAAAATCGGTGCCTGGTCACTGGCATGTATTTATGACAGTATCACAGGATCCCCTTTGGCGATCTGACAAGCAAAGTCAGTGGGGAAGCCAGATTCACTTAATGACCGTGTTATTTACTTTAACAGTGATTCACTTAGCAACTCTGGCAAGTAAAATCATTAAATGGGGCAAAATTCATTTAACTGTCTCAACTAGCAACAGAAATTTTGGGCGCAATTATGGTCGTAAGTACTTTTCACTCAGCTGCCTGCTCCAACTGCTGCTGCCGGCTCCCACCCCCCAATGGGCTCCCACCCCCTTAATGGCACTTTGGGGGGGCAACACGTGAAGATTGGAGTTTTGCAGGCCTTCCAACTGACAAAACAGCCTCATTTCCACAGCGCAGAGGAACAGACTTAACAGATTGGTTAAATTAACTCATTTCACAGCATGCCAAGCTTGGTTAGCGTTAACTTGGATTTAAATGTTTTGGTTTAGTGTATTATGTGAACCCAGAAAAACAGGTCAGCATAGCACTCAGGTTAGCTATGAAACTAACCTTTCAGGTTGACTGAAAATGTGATTTAAACTGATGGCTGGAGAGGAATTCGCTTTAGGAGAGCCGGGATCCCCAAATGCTTCAGTAAAGCCGCCGTTTCTATTGTCGGTTTCCCACTTCTTGTGGGAAGGTGAAAGTGACAGGCTTTCTCTCCTGTGCCACACACATGGCTGTGGCCCTGGCAGCGGAAGGGCCCAAATTGGGCACTGCTGCCACATCCACTGGACTCCGTCCCACCCTGGACAAGGACGGATGCCAAACCCCTCACACCCCCGGCCACGAGAGCGGCTGCAGCCATGGCCCATTTAAGGGCTGCCCACCAGGTGGCTCAGACAAAGGCTTGGCCTGATTGGCCACAGGCCCACTTGCTCCGTCAGCCAATCGGATGCCTGAGGTTTCCGTTGGTGCCGCCCACCTTGCGGCTGGTCCTCAGGATGGTGCTGGAGCTCTACCTGGACCTGCTTTCCCAGCCTTGCAGGGCAGTCTACATCTTCGCCAAAAAGAACAACATCCCTTTCATGATGAAGCCCGTTGACATGCTGAAAGGTGGAGGGGGGGGAGTTCCCCTGTAGCCCCCTTTTCTCCTGCCCCTCTCCTTCTCCCCAATCTTCTGGAGGCTCCCCACCTCCAGGAAGTTTCAGAGGTGACCAGCAGGACAGGAGGGACATCTGCAGGCCTCTTCCCAGTTGGGGGAACCAGGCTTTGTGCCTTGACCACGCTGAGGGAGGCCACATCCTGTCCTCCCCATGGAGCAGATTCCAGCTGCCCCATCCTGAGGCACCAGAGGGGTGGACGAGCAGCCTGAAAGTTCTCTGAGATCTTGGCGCCATCAGAGGTCTTTCGGCCCTGGTGTTTTCAGAGTCCTCTTGAGCACAGATATCAGGGTGGAGGCCACAGAGAAAGGGCTTCCTCCCAACAGTCCCCCCAGCACCTCTGGAGAGCCTGGAGGCTTTGGGGAGGGAAACACCCGGAGCCCCTGCTACACCCCTCTCCTGGCACCCGGGCTGTGAGCTGTTAGTTCTGGGGACTGAGCTCAGCTAAGAAACGGAGGGATGTGTGTGGAAAGCCCATTTTACTTTGGGTTGTGGAGTTTTCTTTTTGGCTGACGTGGTTTATCAATGTTAGGGCAACACTTCACTGAGGAATTTAACAAGGTGAACATCCTAAGAAAAGTGCCTGTCCTGAAGGATGGAGATTTCATCCTAGAAGAGAGGTGAGGACTCCTGATGAGGAGGGGGGAAGCCTTAGGAGCTAGGAAGAGCAGCCGCGCCCACTTGGACCAACTGAAAGCTAGTTGCCTTCATATCCCCAGGAGAACAAAGCAGCATTATTGGCTCAGTGGAAAAGCAGCTGGATCTGCACCCTCTGGCTGGAATAAAAAATTCCTTTCAATTGCAGCTGGGCTGGTGACAGCGGCACCTGCAGGTTGAGAGTCAGAAGCACAAGAGGCTCCCTCTGATTCAGGGTTCCCTGCTGGCCTCCTGGACACCCAGCCAAAGGCCCAGTTTTCAGTCCTAGCTGCATGCTAACCGGGTTCCAGCCAACCAAAAGCTAGACCAAGAGGCCAAAGGGATGAAATCCTGGTCTGCTTCTGCTAATTCCAAGGAGGGGCTGAGATGATGGGAGGGGAGATGACACCTGCCCATGGCAGCAGTCCCAGCCATTGAGCACCTGGTCAGCTGTTGCAGTAGGAAGTCTGGCCTTCGCTCCAGCAGAGCCAGCCGTGGCTCGGATCTGGGTGAGCATGCAAACCAGGCAGAAATGCTGGGAGCCGAGTCAAGCCTGTTTGGCTTTGCCTTAGCAAGGTTGGGGTATGTGCATCAAAGTCATGCTTGGGGGGGGGGGAAACCCAAAAGAAAGAGGAAGGGTGTGTGACTGCCTCCCACTGGGGCAATTTGTGCTGACCCAACTTCCCAAAGAGAACAACCAAAGACGGCCCAATGGAGAGAGGGCAGTGCCTGGAAGCGCTCTGGGATGGCTCTCCTTCTCTTGGAGGCCAAATCCAGCAGAGGCCACTGAGGGGACGGTGGCCGAGCTTGTAAGGGGGCTAGTCCCAAAGAAGGAACAGAGTCCAAATGTCTGGCTGAATATAATGGATGGAATTTTACACAGAGGAGTGGCAAGGATAATGGCCTGGCACCCAAGCAAGCCCTCAATCCCACGCTCAGCATGTGCGGCCATAGCTTGATGACCTCTTAAGTGCCTCAAAGCAAGGTTTTTTCCTGCCTTGGCTCTTTGTTTTCTGCCCACCAGCACAGCCATCCTTCTCTACCTAACCCGGAAATACAACACTCCCAGCTACTGGTACCCACCCGATATGAAGAAGAGAGCCCGTGTGGATGAGTACCTAGCCTGGCAGATCAGCACCATTCGGGTCGGCACATCCAAGATCCTCTGGCTCAAGGTAAGATCGGGCCTCCTGCTCACTGGTGGTGCAGCCCCCCTCCCATGCTGGCCCTGCACAGCCTCCAACGTCCCAAGAGAAGGGGAGGCCTGGCTCAAGGAGGGGGGCACCTGGAGATGCTGCTTTCCCCACCAAATCCGCTGGAGGGGCGTGAGAGGCAGAGACCGGGTGGGGGGTGGGGGAGGACAGCCCCTCATAGGAGAAGACAGGGAGCCAAAGGGTAGCAGTGGAGATGCAACCTCCACGTGCCCCAGCCAGTTCGGGGATGGCTGGCAACTCATGGATATAATGAAGCTTCTTCCAGAGGACAGAGTCATTCCTTCCATATGGCATGGGCATAAAGCAAGTTGTGCTGCCCTTGAGGGAGGCTGCTGGTAGTAATGTCCAGGCCACCCCCAACTCTGCCAGGTAAACGTGCCAGCTCTGGCCTCAACTGAGCAAGCCACTAGCCTCCAGAGTGATCCACTTCCTTTCGCCACCCTCAGCAGTAGATCATTTGGGGGTGTTGCGGGTCCCCCCAAGCACACCTTGATGCAGACATGCCAATGCAAGGACCAGGTCAGCCAGGGCCCATCTCCTCCTGGCAGCAACTCCTCCTGGCATTGTCCTCACATAAGGGAGACACCACAAAGGACCCAAACAGTCAACCTGGCAAGAGCCTCCTCGGGGTTCCCCAGCCCCAGCCCAGGGCCTCCACAGCTCCCTTGGCGCCTGCCCAAATAAAGCCAGGCACTCTCCCCCTCTTCTGCACATCTCTGTGGGGCAGGTGGTGATCCCGCTCTTTGTGGGCCATCAAGTGTCCCCAGAGAAGCTCTATGAAGCAATGGAGGAACTGAACCTCGCCATCCAGAAGCTGGAGGACAAGTTCCTGCAGGACAAGCCCTTCCTCATCGGCCCAGAAATCTCCCTGGCCGACCTGGTGGCCATTGTGGAGCTGATGCAAGTAAGGCCCCTTCCCTAGCAGCTGCCCTCTGAAAGGAGACCCCAGGGTCTGCCAAAACAGAGCCCTGCCAACCACTGTGCCTCCTCCAGCCCTTGGGAGCCGGCTGCGACATCCTCGAGGGCCGCCCCAAACTCCAGGAGTGGCGCAAAAGGGTGGAGCTGACACTGGGGAAGGACCTCTTCACGGACGCCCACAGCCGGATCCTGAACCCCCAGGAACTGAAGAGCATCGTCATCGACCCCCCCCTGAAAGCACAGATGAAGCCCCTGCTCTTGAAGATGCTAAAATAAACATGGAAATAGATCAGTGGGGCTTCCCCTCCCTTCGATCTCTCCTTGCATCCTGCCCCCCCCTTCCAATGCCCCTTGCATCCTGCCCCCCCTTCCAATGCCCCTCCAAGCCCCTTTCCTTTTAGCCGGCTCACCTCAACCAGGGGTGGCCCTGGAATAATTCCGCTTGGCATAAGTATACTGACATCTTCATCAGGGGCTTCTGACCAACTGCCCCCCCCCCCCGTGCAAGCCCAGATTCTGAATGAGGCCTGCAACATAGGTTGAGAAGGAATCAAGCACTTTTGCCAACAATCGATAGATGTTGGAACTGCAGATTATTCATTCTCAATTGTCCAGTGTCCACAATTCTTTAGGAAATGCATATTGTAAAAGCATAATAAAGAATAAAATCCAATGATGAATAAGATATTAAATATATACCACATAAAATCACAGTGGAACAAGTAGCTCCCAAGTTCTAACTCCAAAAGATTTTTGCATCAACTGGCCCAGGAAGACTCTCCAGAAGAGCCTCCGTCAGCTGGCAAGGAGCCCCCTTCTCTCTCGGGATGAGGGCATCTGGAGGGGTGCAGAGGCCCTGAGCCCAAGGCAGCTTTCAAGGCTTGGTGCTGGGACGGGGAATGAACGGATCCGATTTTCTGTGTGATCAGATTGGCCACATCTCTGCTGAGCTGTTTAGATAAAAGGATATTTCCTATCAAGCAGCAGCGATCCAATGAGATTAAGGTGGCAATGGCCCCTCAGCCCAGCAAGGCCCTTGAGGAAATATGTGATGTAGAATAATCTAGCCCACTTCAAAGTATGCCAAACTATGCACCTGCACCTTTAAGACAGGAGAGGGCAATCTATGCCCCCACTGCACAAGCTCCTAGGAGTTTGATGTAACCTTGATTCCTGGCAAATATTGTTGCGATTTCTGAAAAATGGTGGCATGGTTTAGCAACCAGTCTACAGCAGGAAACAAATGAAAATTAAAAATGCAACCCCCACCTCTCATCTGTGGCCTTATAAAACACTGAAATATCCCTGCCCACCAATCTCACCCACAGTGCAGCTTCTCCCACTTTCCATCATCTCCCCTTCCCCCCAGTGAGCATGCATTCATCCAAGCTATTAAACCTCCTGTTCTGCTGTGGTAGGGCAAGGTAGGCAACAGGTATACAGGTGAAGGTATAGACGAAGCAAGGATCTTTACAGGCCGTAGGAGGTATGGTGAAGCTGATGAAAACAATACAGATGTTTCTTCCACAACTTTGCCCAGAGCTCAGGCCTGCTCTAGGCTAGGATCCCCCTTGGATCTCTGCCTAGAGAGCTGAAGCACAGCTTATCAAAAAGAGAGTCTGAACAGGGGAGTCACAGAGAGCCAACAAATTCTTCAGTTTATTTTTAATTTAGCAGTAAGGCCACCACATCTGCATGGCGCTCTGCTTGGAGTTCTTATAGATCAAATATGAAGTTGCTGGTCCTGGGGGGGGGGAGATGTTCCTTGCCTTTAAACTACCTCTACGAAAGAGACATAGAAAGGCACTTCACTGATTAAGCAGGAATCCAAGTATGACTGATGGAAAAAGGTGAAATTTTTATCAAGCTAAAAAGTCAGTGGCTTCTGCAGTTAGAAGATCTAACTCACTAAATTTTTAGTGTTATTTTTAGAGCACCCAAGTGCAACCCAAGAGACATTACTGAATTAATTTCAAAGTCCTTTACCAAAGGTTCTTGAACAAACTTAGGAGTCCAGAAGTAAGAGGAAAAATACTTTGGTGAATCAATAACTATAAAAGCAGAAACTAGTGACAGAAAAAGCCAATTCTTGCAAGGGAGGAAAATGGAGCTGCAAAGCCAGGTTGTTGCTGTTGTTGTTTTTAAATTGTATGTTGTTTAGTTTAGGCTCAGGGTTGCTATGAGGGCAGGTAATCGGTCCCAGTTTCTCTCTCCTCCTGAAACTGGAAAACAGGCAAGCAAAGAAGCTGGGGGCCCTCTTTGCATTCTGTTACAGAGAGGAAAAGATAACCGCTGCTAACTTTAGACTTCAAGGGATCAGAGGGATTTTTGATGGCTAAAACCCATAATAAATGAAATTGATTTGTCAAAGAGGATCCACACAGACACACACGCCCTTTCCCCCATGAACTATCCAAGGGCCGCTCTCCTCTTCTTTGGGGTAAACCCAAGTTGTCCCAAGAGGGAAGAGCCGAAGAGCCTCAAAGGCTGAGGGGAAGGGGCCACGCGGGAGACCCCGCGCCCCTCCTCGGCGGGTCCCGGCCACACCCGCAACGGGGCATCTGCCCTTTGCACGCCTGGGCCCTGGCCCACCGCCCGCCTTTGCACCCTCCGGGACTTCGGTCTCTCCTGGGCCGCGGAGGGGCCAAGGGCAGCGCGGGAGCGCAGAGGCCGTTCCCCCCCCCCGGGAATCCCCTTCTTTTCAGACCCCGGCCGGCTGCCACCGGATGAACCGGGTCCCGTCCCCCTGAGACCCCGGTGCCCCAGCCTTCTCGGGGCTCTGGAAGCCGAGAGGCCGCATAGGCCTCGGCCTCTTCCCGGCCTCCTTTTCCAGGGGAAGCCAGCCGGGCCCAGCAGCCCCAGGGACGGGGACCCTCCCCAGCCCGGCCCCGGGTTCCGTCCTTTCCGAGGCTGAAGGACGGCAGGGCGGCTGTCGGGCAGGGCCCGGCGGGTGGGCGGAGTGCCTCGGCGACCTCCCCGCCCGGCGCGGCCCCGAGGAAGAGGCGGAGGCGCGGTGGGCGCAGCGCTTTATTGCCGGCTCTCACAGGAAGGTCAGCACCGTCCCCTGCCTGCCCACCTGCCAGGGCTCCAGCGGCTGGAAGCGGATCAGGATCCTGCGGGGGGAGCGCAGAGTCAGGCCGGAGCCCCTCGCCCGACCCCCGCCGCCCGCGCCGCCGCCCGCCGCCCGCCTCACCTGTCGGCGCCCAGCCCCAGCTCGCGGCCCAGGAACTCGGCGAAGCGCGCGCTGTGCCTCCGGTTCTGCTCGGCCGAGCCCACCGCGCCCACCGCCCAGACGGAGAGCAGCGCGCCCGGCGCCGCCGAGCCGCCCATCGCCATCGCCAGCTCGCCCCGCACCGTCGCCGCCACGCGCTGCGGGGAGAAGCGGGCCGTCAGCCGGGTGGGGGGGGGAGAGGGGAGAGCCCTCCGCCCCCCTCCCGGCCCCTCCCCGCCCCCGCGCACCTCCTCCGGCTTGCCCAGGATGTCGGCGGCGGCGGCGCTCAGCCGGGCGGGCAGGTCGCGGGGCAGCTGCGCCTCCGGCACGTTCGTCTCCAGCTCCACGAAGGGCATCTTGTGGGGAGGAAGGGGGGGCGGAGGAGGAGGGGGAGGACCCACCCCCTCTCGCCCCGCCCTCCCTCTCCGGGGGGAGGGGCCTCGCTCCGCCTTTTATCTTTATAATAAACTATTCCGAGTATTTGGAATACCTGCCCTTGCATTGCTTTGAATAAAATAGGAACTTTATTAATAACATTCAATAAATCAAACTCAACGGCGCGAGTGGCGTTCCCGAAGCCTTCCGAAGAGCCGAACGCGGCGGGGCAGCTGAGCGGCGCGGCGAGAGCGGCCGAGACCGGAAGGGGCGGGCCACCCTTGGCCCGGCCGCGCCCCTGGCACTGCGGTTGGGTAGCCGGCAGCCAATAGGCGGCCGCTTTGCTGCCAGGTGGCGCGCCGGTGGCTGTGGGGTCCCGGCTCCGGCCAGCATGGTCCGTGTCTCCCGGGGCCGCGGGGCGGGGGGGGGCGGGGGGAGGGCGGGGGGTCCGAAGGGGCTCCAGGGGGGCTTCCGCGGCTGAGCGCTGCTCTCTCTCCGCAGATCCGGATCGCCGCGCTCAACGCCAGCTCGGCCGTGGAGGACGACGACGCCGCCGAGGGGACCCTCAAGAGCCACAAGTCGCAGACCAAGGAAGCGCAGGTGACTCGGCCGGCGGCCCTCCCCCTGCCCCCCCCCCGCTGCCTGGCCCGGGCCGGCCTCGGAGGCAGAGAGATTTGGAAGTCGTGTAACGACGTGGCGGCGGCCCTCCCGGGCAGGCTCTAGCTGAGAAGAGCCGGGCAGGCTCTGGGCCGAAGGGCGCCCGGACTGAAAGCGCCCCTTTATTTGGGGTGGCGGATTCTTCCTCGCAGGCAGCCAGGGTCCTTGCTGGGTGCCGCGTCTGGGCACTCAGGGAAGCCGTGCCGGTTGAATGCCAGGAAACGTCTGCTGAGGTCTTGCCCGTCAGCCTGGTGAACCTTAGCAGATACGTTGTATCGATTGTTTAATGATTGCTGCCTATAAAATATGTAGACATTTGGATATTTTCCCTATGCCCCCAAGTGCGGTCAGCCAGAAGCTACTTTTATAGACACCCCAAGTATTGCTCCGGTTATTCATTAGCTTCTCTGATTACATGTTACTGTAGAGGCTGGATGGGGGGAGAATGTCTTTCAAACCATTTATTTATTTATTTATTTATTT